ATAGAATAGGCAGAGGAACAGGCTGTCCACTTCTGCGGGATTAACCACTGGAAAGCTTATGAGCAGCAGCAGAACATTAGCTTATATAATGCTGGACGATGACCCCTCATGCTGGAAGGCACTCAAAAAATGACTAGGGAAGATTTGTCTCCTTAAAATAGAGTTAACTTAAATGGCATGGATGAAGAGACGTTTGGAGACCTTTCTTTGCTGATGGGGCACAACTCAAAAGGAGAAGAAACAGCTGGAAACATGTTAATCAGGATATGGAATGTATGAGTGGGGAAATTAGAAGTCGTCAAAAGTGAAATGGAATTCACAAAAATCCTAGACATTAGTGCACTGCAATGGATTTGTATTGACATTTTGAACTGCACAATTATGGTTTGCTGTGCTGGTAATGACAAATTGAAAAGGAATGGTGTCACATTCATCATCAAAAAGAATATTTTGAGATCTGTGTTGAAGTACAATATTATTTGTGATAGGATAATATATATACACATACAATAGTGACTAGTTAATAAGATGACTGTTCAAATTTACACAGCAATCACTAAAGCCAATGATGAAATTGTGGATTTCTACCAATTTCTTCAGTCTGATATTGACCAAATATGCCCTCAAGATGCGTTGATAATTATGGTAATTAGAATGCAAAAGTTGGAAACAAGGAAAAGATCACTACTTGGAGGATATCAGTGTTTAAAATGGTGCTGGAGATTACACGGTATCATTTCACCAGACCAATGCTATCTTTGTTGCAAATATATATTTAAAACAGCATCAATGGTGACTCTATCCGTGGACATCTCAAGATGAAATACACAGGAATCAAGTTGACTACATCTGTGGGAAAGGATGACAGGGAAGGCTGTTACCATCACAATGAGCCCAGGGGCTGTGGAACAGACTACTAGTTTAGAGAATATCCCAAGAGAAGACTGGACTCAGTGAACACTAATGACCAAAGACCAGATGAGTTGTGGGATACTTTGAAGATCATTTTGATACATAAACAGAACATAAAGGTCATTACAAATACAGGAAAGAAAAAAATGGAAAAGACTGAAACTATCTTAATTGTAGAGTAGCTAAGTGGAAGAAATGGTGAACTAACAGCTGAACAGCCAGAGTAGCTAGAGAAGACAAAGTAAAGTGTAATGAAATAAACAAAGACATGGAGTTAGAAAACCTAGGGAAGTACTAAAGGGAAGTTCATGCTAAGCTGAGAAAAATGAAGAATAAACTCAAGCCTCTACTTGAAATATTCAAGGATTCTATAAGTAAAATAGTGAGTGAAGCAAGAAGCATTAAAAGAAGATGGAAGGAATACACAGAGTCACTGTACCCAAACCAGATGATCAACATTCTACCAGTTCACAAGATACCATATGTTCAACAACTGATAGTATTGAAAGATGAGGTTCACACTGTAGTGACATTAATTATTGGTAAAAAACAAGGCTCTGGGAATTGATGGAAAATCAACTGGAATGTTTCAAGAGATTGATATAGTCTTGGAAGTACTCATTCTATATGTCAAGAAATTTGGAAACAACTACCTGGCCACTTAACTGAAAGAGATCCATATTATGCCCATCTAAAGAAAAGTGAGCTAACAGAATTTGGAAATGATCACACAGTATTATTATTATTATTTTAATCATTTTATTAGGGGCTCATACAACTCTTACCACAATCCATACATACATCAATTGTGTAAAGCACATTTGTACATTCATTGCCCTCCTCATTCTCAGAACATTTGCTCTCCACTTAAGCCCCCATCATCAGGTCCTCGTTTTTCCCCCTCCATCCCCGCTCCCCCCCTCCCTCATGAGCCCTTGATGATTTACAAATTATTATTTTGTCACATCTTGCCCTGTACAACATCTCCCTTTACCCACTTTTCTGTTGTCTGTCCCTCAGAGAGGAGGTCACATATAGGTGCTTGTAATCGGTTCCTTCTTTCCAACCTACTCTCCCAGTATCGCCACTCACACCACTGGTCCT